GATGGATGGATCATAGGTGATTACTCCCATTTTCTCTGAGACTCCTTTCCCAGTTCCAGGGACTCCAAGCTAAATTAGATGAAAACACCCAGTAGCTTTGGGTGACTATTTCCTCAGGGCACACTATTTGCAATGCACACATCTAATTCTGACAAAGTAGGTCCAAGCACCGTATTTCTGCCAGGTACCTACTTCCTCTTCCACAACCTCTTCCTTTCTTCCACTTCCCATCGTAAGATAAGGGAAAGCTGGATCTGACAACACTTTAAATGATAGATGGGATCTACCTAAAATATTTACTGGGCTTTTTTTCTTCAATAAGATAAAGAGGAAGACACAATTGTAACTTTGAGTATGAGAACAAAAAGACTCAAGTTTATACATGCATAAAGACAATAAAGAAAAGAGGAAATCAAAATAATGGAAGAAAAAGAAAAGAGTATTTGTTCAGAAGAAAGCAATTCTCAAGTCAGACTTATATATCCCAGCTACTTGGGAGGCCAAGGAAGGAGGATCACAAGTTCAAGACCAGGCTGGGCAATTGAGCAAGACCCTATCTCAAAAGAAAAAGTAAAAGGAGAGACTGATGTATCTTACCTGGGACCAGGTGAAGCTCAGTGGTGACATACTTGCGAGGCATGCACAGGGCCTAGGTTCCATGTGCTGTTACATTTTCAATCATTTTCGGTCCCAGGCCCTATTTTACAAGGCTTTAGTGAGATTTGCAATCAGAAATTATCTTTCCTCATTGAGAAACACAAGCAAACTGGCCCCTGGTTTACAGTTTTTTTTCCGATGTAAAATGAGATAAAATAACTAAAACTACTTTAACTGTTTATTTTGGTAAAATAATTACATATAATTATTGTTGAAGGAAATCTACAATAGACCATCTTGATGTTTTATTTAAATCCGTTGCAAGCTGAATAACAAAATTAAAATGTCAGTTTCTCAACTGGAGAATACTCAAATCAACAGCCATGTGCTGAACAAAGAGACTCAATTAGAGCACATAATAGTTCAATTTGGGAATGAATAAATCAAGTAAAAAGAGCACCTATATATGCATGCACATAAATAAAATGCCACAGTTGCTGCTTTTCTATTTCTATATTCTCATTCAGGTTCAGGTTTAGCTATATCCAATTTCAGTGCTTTCTGATATGGGTATGAGTCCTAGCTTCTAGAAGAAAAGGTCACTTGTTTTTGCTTTTGTCATGGGATCTATTTATATTTCAATGCATATTTAAGGATCTTATATTGTAGAAATGTAACAGGATGCCTGCACAAGGTGTCCTAGAACTATAAATATACACTATTATGTAACCAGTGAGGCTCACATTTAAGAAAACTAGATGGAATGGTTATACTGAAGCAAGCGAACAAAAATAAGATGAACTTTAGGTTTGTCCTGTTGGTGAGATCAAGGAAACTGGACCTAAAGTAGCCAACTGCAAATAAAGGAAATGGCGTTATAAGTCATGAAAAGTAACACACAAATTATTTTCTAGAGGACCCTATACAGATTCTGTTAAGAAGGAGCCAAAATACCCTAAAATAGAGAATTCACTGAGTATGGTGATGCACACCTTTAATCCTAGCACTTGGGAATCAGAGGCTGGAGGATCTCTCAGAGATCTAGGCCATCTGGGTCTACAGGGAGACCCTGTTGGAAGCTCGGGGGGAGGAGGGGACCACAGAGAGGGGAAAACAGGAGGGGGGAGAAAGAGGGAGAGAGAATATGCCCCTCAAGCTAATGTACGTGGCTATCTTGGGGTTTCTGTAAGACCTTACAGTAGTGCCATACACTCTGGGTATGCTCTCCTAAAGTTCATCATTCCCAACATCCATCAACCAGAAATCACTTTTCAAACAGAAAACCCAAGCAAAGACACTCTACATCTGGTGTACCTGGGACCTGTTTGAAGAAAACTGTCTGGTTCTGGTCACCTGTAGTGGTAATTCTTGGATCTGTCTGCCAAATGGATACAGGCCAATTTAAGGACACCAGGAAAATGTCTCTGTAAGCGAGTCTGAAGTTTAATGTTCTTTTGTATTCATTATCCTCTGGCTTCTACAAAGCTTGATTTGAACACCCCAGCTTTGCATCAGCTGTTCCACCGGCATTAGGGACGCATGTGTCCACGCTTGGATCAGAGCCTTAAACTGGTAAAGAAAGTTGGTGGCAGTAGTACTAAAGTGAACTCTGGAAGTGTTAAGGAAGCCTGAGAACAAGAATCAGAATTGCCAGATTCAGCAGCACCTTTTCACCCCTCGAAGAGTCTCTGAGGATTGCAATCTCAGTGTTTTAAGAAAGATGGAGGGCTTAGGCCGGTGTTGGCACACACCTTTAATCCCAGCCCTTGGGAGGCAGAGGCAGGTGGATCTCTGTGAGTTCAAGGCCAGCCTGGTCTATATAGTGAGTTCCAGGCTAGCCCCACTACAGGGAGATCCTCCCTCAAAAAGACTTGAAAAAAAAAAAAAAGAAAGAAAGATGGAGGGCTCTTCATGAATTCTCAGTAACAGGCAATGAGATTATGAGATTATGCAAACTCTCACATTTCTTTATTTGCCCTTACTTCTAGAAAACTAAGAAATAATTGTGTTGTGCTCAAATGCCAAAGCATTCCTCTGCTTTTAAAGTACAGACAATTGTTTTTCTAGGGTGTTGCTTTTTTGTTGTTGTTTTAAGCTATTTTAAATAGGATATTCTTCCTGATTTCTTTCTCTGGGAATATGCTGTTGATATCTAAGATGGCTACTGGTTTTTTACATTAAGTTTGTATCCTCAACTTTACTCTTCATTAGATCTAGGAATTTTCTAGTAGTCTATGGGGTCTTTTTTACAGCAGAGAATCATGTCATTTACAAATAATAGTATGACTTCTCCTATTTTTACCCCCTTCATGTCTTTCTCTTGTCTAAATGCCAGAGCTAATACTTAAGAGCACCATGTTAAATAACAGAGAAGAGTGGGCATCCTTGTCTCATTCCTTTTAGAGGAAATGCTCCAGGTGTACCTGTCTTAGCTTACTGAAGTGATTAACACCATGACCAGAAATAGCTTGGGGAGGAAAGGGTTATTTGGCTTATGCATCCTCTCCAGTTTATCCTTAAGACAAGACAGGACAGGAACTCAGGGCAGGAACTTGGAGGCAGGAAATAAAACACAGGCCACAGAGAATGTTCTTTACTGGCTTGCTCCGCTAGCCTGTGCTCAGCCGCTTTCTTGTACAATGCAGGACCAACAGCCCATTGGCAGCACCCACCCACAGTGGACTGGATCCTCCCATCTCTACAATTCTAATTCCCTACAAACCAATTCCCTAGCTGAGGTTCCCTCCTCCCTGGTGTGTCAAGTTGACAACTAAAGCTATACAGCAGTCTCCATTTAATATAATGCTAGCTCTAGATTTGTTGTATGTAGCCTTTGCTCCATCTATTGCTAACATGTCCAGAACTTAGTGCATGAAGTCATGTTGAGCTTTGTCAAATGTCTTTTCGGCATAAATTGAGATGATTATGTGGTTTCTGTCCTTTAGTGTGTTTATATGGTGTATTACATTGATGGATTTACCTATGTTGAAACTCAGTATTAAAGGATGGAAATGGTCATTGTAATAGGCCGGAGTAGCTGTCCTTATACCAGAGAATTGTTTTCTTTCCTCCTTTTACTAGTTTTCATCTTTTGTGGTCATTAATTTTGGTCTTATCTAATTTTATTTCCAGCTTGCTAAATGCCTTTTTGGAGAATGGCCAGAGTACAAGTCAATCAGTAAGTAAAATTTCCTCTTACAATAAAGATTTATAAGATAGTACTCATCTTGAAACCATGAATCCTAGTGGGGCTTAGCCTGTATATTAGCTAAAAACAGTAAACAAGGACGTCTGGATTATACCTAAAAGTACAGAATTCTAGAGCAGAAACAGCTTGGAGATCAAGTCCAACCTTCCACATAATGCAAGACATTTCTTCTGCAGTTTTTCAGTCTCTGCCTGAATATTTCCAGTGAGAGGGTATTTTGTGACAGTTACTACTGATAACAGTTCTTCCTTATTTTGAGCTGAAATTTGCATCAATGTGTCAAATAATTCTGGTTTTTCCAAAAGGTGGTCCTTCACTTATTTAAATATAATTCCCCCTTGTTGAATACCTATTATGTCAGGCCTATGCTAGGCATATTTAGACACTGCTGCACACTATATTCACAATGACCATGCAAATCAGCAGCTAATCACTGCTGAAAAGTGGTCCCCACAGAAACACACCAGTTAAAAGTCTTATTACAGAAAAGTATGTGTACCTGCTCTTATAAACAAAGATATTACTCAATTTCTGGGAATCTGCCTTCAAAACTAGAAAGAAAAGAAACTTCAGTTAGATCAATCCTAACAGAAAATTAAAGATTCTAGAGACACAACAGCACCAGTGTTTGTTCATTTTTAATTATGTGTCTGTATGTGGGTATCTGCACATGAGTACAGTGCCGATGGAAGCTGAAGGCACTGGATCACTTGGAGCTAGAGTTACAGGCAGCTGAGAGCCACCCAACACGGGTGCTGGGAACTGAACTTTGGTCCTCTCCAAGAGCAGTATGTGCTCTTGACCGGTGAGCCATGTCTCCAGCCCCCCACCCCCAACTCAGTGCTTAATCCATGGAGCAAAGACAGGCATCAAGAAACTCCAAGATACAGATACCTGTGACAGCAACCATGGCCTGAGACTAGTAGAGTGTAAACCCAAGTTCCAAACAGGAAGCTTCCTGTCTTCTATCTCAGCCAGGAAGAACAAATTCCTAAGAGACCAGACATTTTATTTAGTTCCATATAACCAGTAGATCACATTCTGAACTGATATATCTTTGGTGTTAGGCAGGTGGGGAAAATATACAAAGTACAGATTTGTAACATAGGAGAGAAGAGCATTCCAGTGAACTGAGCAGGATCCAGATCCAAGCTAGGCCTTCAGGATGAGAATACTCAGCGCACATACGGTGGCTGAGACCAGACATTTTATTTAGTTCCATATAACCAGTAGATCACATTCTGAACTGATATATCTTTGGTGTTAGGCAGGTGGGGAAAATATACAAAGTACAGATTTGTAACATAGGAGAGAAGAGCATTCCAGTGAACTGAGCAGGATCCAGATCCAAGCTAGGCCTTCAGGATGAGAATACTCAGCGCACATACGGTGGCTTTTTAGGCTATAAAAAAAAAAAAAAAAAGAGAATATGCTGAAAGCAGGATAGTGGCAAGTCATTTCTTTGCCTAGACTCTGCCATCTCTGCTGCCTACTGAACCACTTGTACTTGGCTATCTTTACCTTGAACTCAACCTGCTCAAGTCAGAATTCATTTCTCCTTCAACTTTATCTTTCCAAATTCTTTACTAAAGACATTTCCAGGTATAAAAGCCTCAGTCTTTTTTTTTTTTTTTTTCTTTTCAAAAAGTCCTCAATAACTGCACTCTGCCTTTTTACAGATAAGACCCGCTGCCATTTAACAAATACGTACTGGCTGCCTATGACGCATCAAATACTTTCTATAGATTTGAGATACATCAGCCAACAACAACAAAAGATACCTGCTTTCATTCTAGTAGGAAAGAGAAAAAATATGGAAAGTATATGTGGTCTGTACATAAATATAGTATGTGGGAAGGAGTGTTACAAAAAAGACAAGACAATAGGAAAACAATTTTTAAAAACAGTGGTTATGGCAAGACTCACTAAGAAAAAGGGACATCTAAGCAGACTTCGGTGGTAAGGGGAGGCCATGCAGATAGCAGAGGAGCAGTCTTCACACCAGAGAACAGATTTAATTCTTCTGATTTCTGTTTGAAATGCCACAGAATCACTCTTCCACTCCATTCCCAATATCATCAAACCAACTCTAAAGCCTCCCTAGGCAGCCTTCCGGATTCACTTTCTCTGAGGTACAGTTAAACATTCCTTTTCCACAGAAAAACTACCAGGCCAATTTTCACAATTCACTTACCCCTCCCCCTTTATAAGACAAACTTAACCCCCTCCCTTAAAATTCTTAAAACTCAGTAAGATCCCTGCCATTCTCCCCAGTCCAAGAATGCTTCCTTTCCTACCCTTGTTCCCTCTACACTCTACCCCTGCAAGGCACAGAGTTAAGGCTCTACCACTTCAGCCTATGTTCCTGTTAGGCTGCTATTACTGTGTCTGGATTCATTGTTTCTCAGCGCTGTAATTCTTAAATGAAAACCTACCACCTAAATTTTCTATATCCCATCTTGATCATTACTAAATATTTGCTAAGAATAAACTAACTGTTCTTCTATAATCTGAAGCTCTTGCCCAACTTAGAACACTTTCATCAGCTTTGATAAATTGCTAAAAACAACGATGAAAGCATACTTTCAGAAGCTGGGGAAATAGCTCAGTCGGTAAAGTGCTTGCTATGCAAGCATGAGCACCCACATCAAGGTCCCCAGGACTCACATAAAAAGCTGAGCATGGTGATGCACATCTGTAACCCTAGTGTTGGGGTTGGGGGACAGAGAGAGGTGGAGTCCTGGATTTGTTAGACAAGACAGTATAGCCAGAGCAGCAAACTCCAGGCTCAATGAGACCCTGTCTCAAAAAAGTAAGATGGAACATAACAAAGAAAGACATGTGCCATCGCCAGATGCACACACCTGCAACACACGCAGGTGCACATATTCACATAAAATAAAAATTCACTGAAAAACGGGTTGTTTTTTTTTTGAATGCACAGGAATATGAAAGCCGTATTTTAATGATGGCTGATGATAGCTTTTTTCTTTCCTTTTCTCTAACCCAAATTTTCAGTTGTTTTCACTTCTGAATTTGCCTTACTTTCAGAAACAAAGAATTTGCTACGAACTATTTGACACAAACAGTAAGCGATCAACCATCACGGGACTCATCAGTAGTACTCAAGTTACCAAAAGAATACAACTTTAAGGAAAGATTGCACTCCGAGTTAAATTGCAGTTGCAAAGCCAAACTGCAGTTAAGATAAGCTGAAGCAACAGGGCGTAATAGTGCATGCCTGTAATCCTAGCACTCAAGGGGACTGAAGAAGTCAGATGGCCTCAAGTCCCAGGCCAGCCTGGGCCACATAGTGGCCAGCAAAGGCTCTATAGCAATACCATGTTTCAAAAAATAAGAATGTTTTAGAAATTAGAGGCTGGGGAGATGGCTCAGTGGTTAAGATCGTTTGTCACACAATTATGATGACCAAAGTTCAGATCCCAACACTCATGTAACAAGCTGGGCTTCCTGCAAGTGCCCGTAATCCCAGCTCTGAGGGAAGCAGAGATGGGAGGATCTTCTCAGCCTAGCTAAGAAAACACAAGCCCCAGGTTCAGGGAGAGATCCTGTCTCAAAGGAATAGACAGAGTGACAGAGGACACCTGAGGCCCTCTCCTGGCCTCGTGATGCACATACAAATATACATAAAATTGGGGCTGGAGAGATGGCTCAGTGGTTAAGAGCACTAGCTGCTCTTGCAGAGGACCCAGGTTCAATTCCCAGCACCCATATGCCGGCTAACAAAGTCCTTAACTTCAGTTCCAAGAGCTCCAACACCCTCTTCTGACCTCCAAGAGCATTTCACAACAGGGGTGTACCTATCTACATGCAGGCAATATACTCATACCCATAGAATAAAAATAATAAAGTGTTTTTAAAAAACAACAAATATACATAAAATCTTTTTAAAAACAGAAAAATAATAAAAGGTAAAACAAATTCTCACGGTAAGGAGGGAGAGAGGAAGGGAGGGCAAGCTTCCTGCTGAAGTAACTAACAATATATTTACTATATATGAAAGCAGCACAACATACAGGAAAGGGCACTACACCAGAGTGCTTAAGGCAAGCGTCACCATTCATTAACAGGGTGACTTTGTCAAATGGAAGCTAGAAGCTCTTCTATTTATACATCTTCATAGGTACAGACTAGGTTCCAATCTAAAAAAACTCCTGTCAGCTCTGTCTACCCAGGAAGAAGGAGTAAATGGTAATACACAATCATTTGAGTCTACTATGGACTATTCAGTAGTAGTCCATAGCTGTTCTAACTGAAGCAGAGTCTTATTACTATAAAAGCATTGGTGACCGAAAGATCAAAGACAAAATATTAGTATCTATATAGTTAATGTTAAGGAGTGCTGAAAAGGATCTATGTCATCAAAACCCACAGTATCTTCTGAGCACCAGTCACCTAAATCTGGAACAAATAGACTAAAAAGGAGTCTTTCTGTGGGGTCAGGGATGTAGCCTGGTGACAGAATACTTACCTACCATGTTCAATGTCCTGGGTCTTTTGAGAATTAATGGGCATATAAACACAAAGCTGCACTTTTTTTGCTACTATATAACCAGTACTCAGGGGCCAGGTGTAGGGTTAAAGGAGACATGGTGAGTAAAATGCCTGGCACACTCTAGTAACACATTCTTTCAAGAAATGTTAAAGCAGCCTGTATATACAGCCTGTAAATCATAATTGTTTTTAAGTTAGAAATCATTTTTACATGTACTTTCAGACTGCCAAGTGAGAGAGCAGCTTTATAAAAGGCCAGATTTGATCTATAAATTGGGCCCATATAATCAAGGTTATTCCTCTAGTGTTTAAGAAATGGATGTAAGGGAGAGGGGGTGGAAAAAACCCTGACATTGAATGGTCACCAGAAACTCACCTACATTGCTGGATCAAAAGCCAACTACACAGTTAAAAAATGGATCTATTTCAGAGCAGCAACAAATTTTTTTTGTGGAAAAGTTCTCCGATCTGCCATTGAAAAAAATTCCATTAAGAAAAGTTTTCAAACTCTGAGGATGCAGCTCAGTTGGAAAGTATTCACTTAGCATGTAAAATAAAAAATAAAATAAAATAAAAAGGTCCTGGGTTCAATCCTTAGCACTGCATCAAAAAATCTGGTGTGGCAATAGAGGTTTGTTATCTCAGCACTCATAGGAGGTGGACTCAGCAGGATAAACAGAAATTCAAGGTCATCCCTGGCTACATAGTGAGCTTGAAGCTATCCTGAGCTACACAGGACCTTTTCTCAAAAAAAAAAAAAGGGGGGGGGGGGGTTCGGGGGTGATGCAGAACTGCCTTAAGTACTACAGGGAGGCTGGGTTAGGCTGACTATAAATCTGAGAAGACTCCAAAAATTTCTTACAGTTTTAGGTAAATTTTTTTAAAAATCCACAACATGCCAGCATCTGCCCTTAATTCCAGAAGCAGGAAGTAAGGATGTGTCCCAATCACATAACATTAAACCACAGTCCATCTGTTCAGAGAATGCTACATTATGTAAGCCCTGACCAAGAAAGAGCAGCAAAGGGCTCATAGTTTGCTGCAATTTGCAGGAGGTTCTATTGTTACACCTAATTCAACTACACCTTACTTAACCAAGACAAATTGGAAACTACTTCTGCAATCAGTAAGTACTATATCAAGTCCTTGAATAAGCAATTTAAAAAATACTGACCTTTTCCTGGAAGACTTTTTTCCCTATAAGCATCTTCCTTCCCCATTCCTTCCCACCCACACAACTCACTTTTCCTAAATTCTGTTAATTCAAGACCAATTTCACCTAGGAAAATGTCCTAATCCTGTACTCCCTGCCCCCATTTTCAAGTCCTTTGCTTTTAAAGTACAGAACAGGGCACAAAATCTGGACTCAGGAAATCAAAGTTCCTTTCTCAGTAAGGCCCAGTGTAGCCCTGAGAAATTCATTTCATCCTATGCTTTTCCATGGATAGATTGGATTGATGATACATCTATGATTTTTACTGTTAGAATGCCTAGCCCTGGTGAGCATCCCATTATGTTATTTAAGTCTTTCAATCCAACCACTTATAAGGCAGAAGCTTTATTTCCAGCCACATACCATAGTTTTTAAGTGGCGGGAACAGGTTAATACATCCAAATCCCATTGTTCGGAATAAGGAACCTGACTCTAAAGAGCAACTTGGCAGTCAGTCAACAAAAGCTCTGATGCTTGCCCCGCAGTAACCGGGAACACAAAGAACTTTAATAGCCATTAAATCCTCCTGCTAGTCTGAATTCTAGATCCACCTTCAAAGTTAGTTTAGGGAAGCCTTCCTCAGCCACTTCGGCCTGTACCAATTACTTCCCCTTCGAATGCTAATGTGCCTCTCCACAAAGGTGATATTAAAAATATTTAACAACTGGCACTACAAGGGCACTAACTAATCAGAAAAGACATTTAACCAATCAAAACACAAGAGGCTTAGTGGGAATTGCTGGTTGAACATCAGCCCCTACTTATTATTAACTAAAATAGCAACTTCAAACTTAAATACACACAGCTTTCTCATTTGATTTCCACAATCTCATGAATTAAGTAAAGCAAGTGTCACCCATTTTCTGTATAACTAAAGTGAAGTTCAGATTAATAACCAAAATGAGTAAGCAGCTGCTTCTTTTATCATACCACACAACTTTCCTCTATTACATGAGAGAGAGACAGAGACAAGAGACAGAGAGGGAAAGAGAATTACAAACACAGCATACTCTTGTACTTAAATAAAACAGGACTGCTCAAATAGACTGTATATACTCAACAAACATTTATGCACAACAAAATATAAAAGCACAGTGCTAGGTTCCAGGGACATAACTGAAAGAAAAGCAGGATTCCTCTCTAGATATGTTATACTCGAATACAGTTAACAAGGGGGGGACGGTAGAAAGGGATAACACAAAGTATAGGTACTATACAGTTCAAGGAGACAGAGTTCAAAGAAACCTAAACTAACCCTACACAGGATGTCAAGAGCTACTCCCCTCTCATTTCCCACAAAAGGGACAAAATTAAATATTCAATGAAAAGGCTGAAGAGTCAGGATTAGTGAGAGGGAAAGCAAACCTAGGTTTGCAGTAGTGAACCATGAGATCTCTAGTCAGATATTCTGAGATGGTCCTAAACATAAGCCTCATGTTGCTCTGGGTCCTAACTACACATAGGCAAACTTCAAATCTTCCTGGATGGCCCAGGATAGCTTAGCAGGAACTACTACAGCAGCCCAATGAGAGGAACACTAGAAAGCAGCAATTGGATGTAAGGGGAAATGGGCAGACTAAGGTAATAGCTACCCAGCAGGGGAGGGGTAGGCATGCTAGGCACGTTTTCCAAGCAAAAGACATGAAATGGCTGAGAGGGACAGCATTCTAACATAAGGAACAGGTGTAAACACAGTAACACTAAATTGTACCAGGGACAAGGAACCAATATCCCTCCCAGCAATCTGTGTTATGAAACTGGCGGAGAAAAATAAACAATAGACAGGAGCAACTTGAAGTCTTAAGCTAAATTTTAAAGACATGTGAGCTTCTTCAGAATGTAGTGAAACATCAACATAACCAATGAGGGCAAGGAAACAAGGTGACGTTATCTAGGCCACAGCTTCTCACATTGAGACATAACTCCACACAGAGGTGTGTAACTGAATGGGGGGATGCGGAAGGGGGAGGACACGAAAATCTGGCAACAGTAAAAGGCCTCTGAATGTGCAACACCCAAGAAATAACTCAAAGTCAAATGAGTAATGAATCCGAGGTGTTTCTGTGCTTGCCTGTGTTGCATCACGCAACTTCACTGCAGCTTTGGTTCTGAACACACAACATGCTGTCACACCATGCAGTGCTAACAAATGAACAGATGTGAGACCTTTATTGTATGTTGTGAATTTTAATGTTTATGATGGCACATACAAAACTTTCTACTCTTACAGAAACATAATGGCTAACTACAGAAAAGGTTTTCTTCAGCATGCATATATCAAAATAGTTTATCTTCGGATTACATTGTGTTGGAATGTTGATCTTAGAAATTGCTGTTTAAGGGCTGGAGAGATGGCTCAGCAGTTAACACTGAGTGTTCTTGCAGAAGACTCGGGTTCGAATCCCAGCACCCACATGGCAGCTAACAACTCTCCGTAACTCCAGTTCCAGGTGATTCGATAGCTTCTTCTGTCCTCCAAGGGCACTGCACGACACGGGTCACTTACCTACATGTAGGCAATATACACATACACATAAAATAAGAAAAATAATAATTTTTTTTTAATTGCTGTTTAAGACGGGCATGGTGGTGCATGCCTTTGATCCCAGCACTCGGGAGGTAGAGGCAGGCGGATCTCTGAGTTCAAAGCCAGCCTGGTCTACATAGCGAGCTCCAGGCCAGCTGGAGCTACAGGGAGATCCTGTCTCAAAAAGACCAAAAAACAAACAAACAAACAAACAAATAAATAAATAAAAATTGTTTAAATTGCTGACTTGTTTCATTAAAAAAATTGATAAATAAATTTTGTCTTGTGATTAAGACAGAATTTCCAACAATTTCTGAAATGGTCCTAAACATATATTTTTGTGCAGTGGCATTAGATGACTAGAAAATCAAAATATCAGTCAACTCTGAAAAACACTATAGATGTTCTATCTCCTGTAATACCAACTATTCAGCCAAGATTTACTTCTTTATGTAAAAACAAGTAAACATCCACTTTGTTATAATGGCAAAACTTTTTCCCAGTAAATTTTTTTTTTTTTTTTTTTTGAGACAGGGTCTCCCAGTTGCTCCAGCTGGCCTGGAACTCGCTATACAGACCATGCTGGGCTCCATTTCACCCAGATTCACCTTCCTGTCTCCTGAGTGCTGGGATTAAAGGCATGGACCACCAAACCAGGCAAGGAATTTCTTAAAAACAATTTTCTTGGGGACTGGAGAGATGGCTCAGCAGTTAAGAACACTGGCTGCTCTCGCAGAGGGCAGGGGTTCAATTCCCAGCTGACAAAGGACCGGACCATAACTCCAGTTCCAGGGTATCCGACGCCCTCTTCTGACTTCCACTGGCATTGCACAACATGGGTGCACTTCCATACATGCAGGCAATACACTCATACACATAACATAAAAATATTTTAAAATAATTTTCTTTATGATTTAGTATCAGCATGTTTGATTTGTATATCTGTTTTTTACACCTATATACTCTGGGTCACATAATATTTCTTGAGCAAAAAGGGGTGGCAAGTGGAAAAAGTTTAAGAAGTCCTAGTCTAGGCATTTAATTAATATAAGCTTCTACACCAGTTTGGTATTACACTGAAGTCTATGTAGGCTATAAATTCCTCCTGAGCATGGACAGAACAATATTCTAAACATTCAATACTGATAAATACATGAACACTTCCTGCATTATCTCAGGTGCAAAAGAATGAACTACTCTATTCAAGTGTAGATCAATGGTCATTTATGTTTGATGCATAATTATAACGATCTTCTCACTTGCCCACACAGTTATCTTCCTCCTTAGGCCAATATCAAAAACTCAGTTTCATCTATTTTAGGCCCACGTGAAGGGACTCAGGAATGTTCACGGAACAACGAAGCCAAATGTTACTTATGTTGTAAGTAATAAATACCAATTGCTCTTTAGACAAGTGAGAAAACGGGCTATGCTACTTTGGTGTACCAAGTGTACAGACTTTGAAAACTTAAAGGCCTAAATGCAAATCCCAACTTCAGCACTTAGTATAAGAATTTAATCTCCTGCACCTCCAGTTTTCACATCGATATAAGGTGCAAATGCCACCAGCCCTGAGGGTTCAATTATGGGGATCTGGTAATGTACTGTGGTGTACTTTTCGCATCTGCATTCTAAGCTCCTAATAAACAGAAACTATTAAGATAATATCATCCAGTCTGGAGGAGTTTTTGGTTTGGTCGGTTTCTTTAAAATGTGCTGTCCAATTTCTGCAACAGAAATCTACTTTCAATGTATTTTGGTTACTAATGCCGAGGTTCAGTATTATACTTTTTTCCTATTTCAATTCGGTCACTAACAAGGTTTTTCATCCCTCCTCCGAGGTGACAACCATTTATCACGGCCTTATTTAGAATTTTGGGGAAAAAACTGCAACATTCTCTCTCGAAAACTAGTTACACAAACGTTTGGTTTCTAACTACGTCCACTTGAGGAAAAGAAATATCCCGAGTGATGCTCCTTTCGAAGAAATGAAGCATTTGAGCAATTGTACAGGATCATGCCCATTCAAACGTTCTAAAACCTGCAGAGTGAGCGAGCGAGCGTTCAAGTTTCTACGAGCGAGGCAAGCTGTAAGCCTTCTGGATTCTGGACTCACTTCAACACTTTCCAGACGAAGGAAGAAACATTCCGCGCATCTCCGCGCCTGCTCCTCACACAAAGCCCCCCCTCCCCCGGTGGGTGGGAGAAGGGGTCGCGCCCGCTGGGGGCCGACGCCCAAGGCAGCGCAGCCGTCTCCGGGTCTCGGCCCTCGGAAGCCCGTCTCCCACCGCCCGGGAAGCCCCACTCAGGTCCCCGCCCAGCCCGCGCCCCGGCTACCCCCGGCCTCGGCGGAGCCAGGCCACGGTACTCGCCCGCCTGGCGCCCCGGACGGTAGCCCCCGAGCTCGGACGGCCAGCCCGCTGCCAGCCGGGTCAGGAAAGCCCGGCGCGGCCCCGCGCCGCCACCTGCGCCCCCGGCCCCGCGCCATGTTTGAGAAAGAGCAGCAGCGAGCCAGAGGCCGGGCCCGGCCCGCGCGCCCCACAACCGCCCGCCGCCGCCACTCACCCGTCGCCCCCGGGAGCAGTGTCGCCACCGCCACCAACACGACGAGAAGCAGCCGGCGACGCGGAGCAGCGGCCGCCGCCTCCATGGTCCCGCCGCCACCGCCTGTGGCCCGGCCCGGCCCGGCCGCCGCTTCGCCTCAGCAAGCCTCGCCTCGCCCCACCTCCTTAGCGCCGCGGCGGCCTCGCTCCGGCCCTTTGTAACTGCTCCGGGGCCGTGCGCCCATTGGCTGCCGGGCTCCCGCCGACCCCGCCCCCCGCCGCCGGAGAGCACCCGAGCGGGACCCAGCCTGGAGCCCCGCCTGCGGGGCCTCCGGGCGGCCAATGCAAGGCGACGGGCTGCGGGCGCTGGCCACGCCCCCGCACTGCTGGGCCTCTGGACTTGTCCCCGCCGCGCCGGGCGCCCGGTCCCCAGCCCCTGCCCTGGCCGCTGGCGCTCCACAGGCGGGTGGGGCGGGTCTGGGCTGCCGGGGAGCTCGGAGTCCCAGCCCCGGAGCCAAGCTCTAGGAGTGTGTCGGTGCGAGTCGCTCGGGGAAAGACCGGGACCACTCCACGCTCTGTCCTTCTACCTCAGTCCACCCTGTCCCCTGCACAACCCTGAACCCGCAAATACCAACTCTCGCCACCTAGGTCCTCCGTCGGGCCCGGGGTTCAACTTCCCGTCCCCAGACCCACGCCCCAACTGGCAGCATCCCTCCCCAGCGCCTCTCACCGTGCATCCCGGTTTCGTCCTGCTCTCCGCGTCCGCCCAGACCTGGTCCCCCCATCCCCAAACTGCAGTCCCTAAGTCCGCGGGTTCCGGACGCGCGCTGGGACACACCCCCAAGTGGCCTGGGCCTCCCCCCAGCTCCTCGTGGGCTCGGGCCGCCCCCTCCCCCCCTCCCCTGCCTGACCCTGCTGGGAACCCGAGGGGGAGGCATCCCTCTGCGGAGCATCCCGCTCCGGGGGTGGAGCGGGAGCCGTCAGCGCTGCTTGGAGCTGTCTCTGACACGCCTGTGTAATAATTCCAAGGTGTCACTAAAAACCCAAATAAACTCAGCTCCGTTTTCATTCTGAGTTCCTAATTTACAGTGAGATGCTCCACCCACCTTCCCTCCGGGACGCCAAAATGAGCTCCAGATTTGTAATTCTTCCTGTCAGACTAGTCCTTTCTTCAGACACAAACACTGCCGCATGGCACCGACAACATTTTTTTTTCGCAGAACTTTTAAGGGGAAAATTTTATTTTCTGTGTGATTTGAACTCGGAATTAAATAAAGCTCGGGACTAGAAACCAACCGGCCTCTAGTATTGATTGGTAAATTGCTTTAGAGCTACTCGCTTAGTTTAATCGCTTAGGGAATACTTCCTCATAGAGCTGCGAAAGGAAACGGGGAACGGGGGACGGGGGGGGGGGGGGGGGGGGGGGGGGGGGGCTGCCCCCTTCTGCCGTTTTAGGGCCCACCCCACACAC